AATAGTAGTCAGATGGCTGAAGGTCAATGCATTTTTAATGGTCTCTTGAATTTTAAAAAATGTTTAAGTTTATGATCTATGAGTAATGTGCGATATTCAAGGAGAGCACGTGCTTGAGTCTTGCAGCCCAGCTCAGACACATTCATAGCTCATTCCCACACCTTTTATTCTTCACTTCTCCTAAGATAATTTCTTGGACACTTGCTGCCTTGTGGCAGCCTAACAAGCACTGTGGCCTTTTACCTCAGGCATGTTCCTGATCCCAATTCTTTCCAAAACTGTGTCCAGCATACACGTGCTTCAGTGAATATTTGTACATTGTGGTGTTTTTCCTGATTTTTTCTTTTCTTTTTCTCACTTTTCTCTTTCATCACTCACAGATCAGTAGCCAGTAATGCTATGGAAACAGTCCAAGTACACTTCAACTTAGGAACTGATAAAGAAATGTAGCATATATACACAATGGAACATAATTTACCCAGAAATAGAGTGTAAATCATGCCATTTACAGGAAAAATGGATGAAACTAGAGACATTCAGCCTAAGTGAACAAAAACAGAATCTGAAATATAAATGTGGCATGTATTCTCTCATTTAGAGTCTTAAGAAGAAAATGATGCCATGAAACTAGAATGCAGATTACTAGGGAAAAGGAAAGGAATCAGTGGGAAGTGAAGTTTACTGCACAAAGTAACACCTGGAAGTCATAAGTTATCACTGCATTTATATGCATTATGAATACATAAAAAGGAATACTCATTCTCTGTGTATCTAGTAAGTGGAAGAAAAGAGCTCACATATGAAAAATTATCTTTATATTGACAATACCAATACATATTTCCTCTAATGTCCAAAGTGTTACATTTATCTGTGTAGTCTATACTTGAAAGTCTAAGAGTCAAAGCTACACACTATTGCCAAGAGAATTAAAAAAATAAATGCCTTTTTGGTAAATGCATCTTCATTATAAGTTGTTAAGTGTTAAATATAAGTATTATTCTCCATTTGTAAAACATTTTTCCTTCCTTCAAATACTCCCATAAAACAATTCTATAATATGTTTTAATTTATTCAACTTTTAGTATTTAGTACCATTATTTTACATTTTTTGTAAAATATTTTAGTCACTTATCATTTCTGTGGTTCCACTATTTAAGTTTTTTTTTTTACCTGGTTTTTTGAGACTTGGTATGTTGTTCAGGCAGATCTTGAACTTACTATGTAGTCTACACCAGCCTCAGACTCTAGATCCTCCTTCCTCAGCCTCCCAAGAGACGTCAGTGATTCTATTCATACCTTCACTTACAAATAATCACTTCCAAGATCCCTTATCCTCATATAAGGGAAAAAGAAGATGAAGTATGTACCTGTTATGTCTCCATTCCCCTCTCCCCTCACCTGTGTTTCCCTAGACCCAAGTGCCCCAGATTACTTCTTCAACAGCTGTACTCTTTTTGAGTCGGCAAGAGGCATTGCTGTTTTATTGACCAGAACTACCAGCCTTCTAGAATGGGAGCCTATAACTCAGCCTTACAGCATTGTGCGATCCTCTCCTCTTTCCAATTACTGTCTCCCCTTCAAGTCAAAGGCATTATAAAATCACAGGATGTGAATTATCAAGTAGGTTCAAGTTATTTGACAAGTTTTCTCAATTAACAATTTTCATAGTGTGATAAGAGGAGAAAGAAACTTATACCTGGTTTTATAAGTCATCAGTTGACAAGCAATGATAAGAACTAGTCTCTACCCTCTTGGTATTTGTCTAAGTTTCCCCTAAATGATGAAATTTCTCCCTTGGAATGGCCTGACACACCTCCGTGGTTCAATATTTAGCTCCATAGTTATATTAAACATTGAGTGTATAGGGCAAGGGAGAACCATTGAGATGGTAAGTGCTTCTTTAACATAGTCACTAGCCTATATAACACAGGATGTGAGCATTCCTATTCTTCCTTGAGCTCAAGTTTAAAAAGATAAGAAAGATTCTATGCTCCACACTGAAAATGTTTAAAGGTATTTCAAGATTTAAAAATAATTATCCCTGAAATAAAATAATCCTAAATTTGAGAATCTGTTGCCAGAATTGGGGCATGCGTTGTCTATGTCTGCTACCATCTGATTTCACAAGAAATATAATTTCTTTAGAAACCATCAAACTATTTATGCAACACATGTTTAAGATCACTTAAAATACAATCATTGCCAATGTTTCATTTTTTGGAGTGCTATTATATTTGCTGCATAACTCGTCAAAGCTAATTTCTCCACATTAGGTTTTCTTGTTGAAACTTTCCATCTCAGGCTCCTGTTTTGTTGATATTTCCCTATTAATATTTCCACCATGGTGAAATGTTGACATCAGCAGTACTAGTTTGCTTTTCTTTGCCATATATGAGGCCAATGTTATACCTTACTGAAATTCAAAGATTGTACTGTACAAATCTTTGTTTTAAAATTGAAACACTTCATTTGGAATTTCTGATTTTTTTTCCCATATGTGGTTCCTGTGTTGGTCAACTTGTGCTCTGACACAAATGTAACATCAATTAGAAACAAACAGACCAATTGTCGAATGTCACATCTAACTAGTGTGGGAGATGGAAACAACAAGTCTGTACACAACAACATTTGGTTTATTACTATACAAATAAGGACCTGATGGTTGAATTCCAAGATAAATATCTAAGGTGAAATAAGTAATTGCATCAATCAGGACATTAATTTTATGCCATATTTTGACCCATCGTTTTTCCGTAAGTCTTTTATATTTCTACAATCTATGGGAAATCTGTGATAATCTGTGATAAATCAGTAGACTTATGAATGCTTCAGTTCAGCTAATAAGGTGTCAAAATAAACACATTTTAACGTGGAAACATACAGACCATTTGACTTGCATTTCAGCCTTTACAAGTTTCACAGCATCATGTAGCCTTGTGTCTGTTAAATTTATAGCACCAAATGGTAGGGCTGGCCTGCTTTCCAATAGGTTTCAATCCTACCAAGGACTTTACTGCATTTGTAAACCTTATTCTAACATTGGATCATTCCGTTTGGTTAAATGACATTTTGCAATATTTTGACTGATCAAATATGTACTCATAGTGCTGTTTTATTTGTCATCTGAAGGAGGCCTGCATTTCCTGTGTCTCAGTCAATCCATTCTTGCTGTATTGTACTGTCATAGGAACTTTGATCACATGGCCAACATCAAAATTATCATCCTCTTCCTCATACCCACATCATTTTCCTGTTATGAAAGTATATATTTTTCCATAATGGATCATCTTTATCATCCATGCACGAATAGTCTTATGATTCGCTTTTGACCTCCAAAACTTGAAAATCTGGTTTTTCTTATGCCCTTGTACTAAACTGGGATACTTCTGCCAAAAAATCAAAAGAAACTTTTTTTAAAAAATCCAGGAGTGTTGTGCATCTATTGGATCCTCTATGTTGTTCAGATAAACATACGCAAAATTAGTTGGGGAGTTTGAAGATGTATCCAAATTCTATTTTGACACTTTTGCACATATATGCACCCTTTGTCATTCCTCAAGAAAAATAGATAAACATATTGAATGCATCTTATTACCCTCAAGGAAAAGTGCTGAGACACACAGTTGGCTACTACAACACTAAAGTACACATTTACAGTAGAAAAGTAAAGGATGACTCCAATGGACTCAGACTTATGCCTGCATAAGGATTGATTTACTTGAGATGTTTCTTGAAAAGGGAGACTTGAGCTAGAAGAAAATGAAACCTATCTTTCACAAATTGGTTTAAAAAGGTATTTGCTTAGTGTTATTCAAAGGATATTCTATAGAGTCCAAGTGCTCACTTATTTCCTTGGTCACAACTATCTCTATGGATTTACTGCATTTTCAATGTGTATTATTATTCTCAGGACACATTTCAATGTGTATTATTATTCTCAGGACACATTTAGTCTGGTTGAAATCCCTGGAGAACTCAGTGATTGTAGAGCAAGTGATTAGGAAAAAAAAAGAAGTCCTTGTACATCAGGAGGAGCCTTTGGTGGAAGATAAATTCAATGATATCTTGGACATTTATACTAGAATTTTCAACTCCTCTCCAAAGTGTCCAGCAGAATATACATTTTGGTAAGTACTCAGATAAAGATTGTCTCTTTGACTTTCACTTTATTTCAGCTTCAGCAATTAGTCATGCAGAGCTTCATTTAGAGCAAAAAGGGCCGTCCAAAAATCATGCAGCAAAGCAAAATAATATTTTTATAGTGACTGTGTAAATAATCCATGTAACTTTTGGGAGTTCATTTTTCAACAGCTTTCAAATTCTCCTAAATTATGATACTGAACACTGTACATTATTTTTTCTAAACTGAACACTGACCAACTGGTCAAAATTCTAGAACAAGGAAAAATAAAACACAATCTGTCATTAATCTCCATAGTTACCACTCTTGCCATTATATAAATGACTTGAATATGAGATTTTTTAAAAAAGAGATTTAAATATCAACAATTTCACATGCCTGAATTTAAAACACAAAATGATTTAACTTTGAGACCTTACATTTGTAAGAGTCATGAGAAATAGGAAGATATCTAGATACCTTCACCCACATACACTGTCAATCTAGAAATTACTTATATTCCACCTGATAGACAGTATCTTAAAGCAAGAAATAACAAAGATTTCTAAGTTAATTACTTTAAGTTTACTAATATAGGGAAAATAAAATCAGATGCATGTCTAAATGCAAAATTTAAATCTAGTTTTTCTCTAGGAAAATATGGATAGAAGTAATTTCTGCAAATTATGATTTAGCGAGACTCTTGTATCAAGTGACATGCATTTTTCTTGATACAATTGCAACATGAATTTGCTCATTTGCCAAAATGCAGTTGAAAGAAACTATAAATTTCAACATTCCTTTTCCCTATCAATCTTATAGATACTCATTTTAATAGCACAAGTATTTATATGTTTCACTGCAGCCTGATGAATAAATAATGATTACTGTCAACACATCACATGGTGAAATCACTACCTTCCTCTTGGTTGGGATGCCAGAGCTGGAATCTTCACACATTTGGATCTCCATTCCCATCTACAGTAAGTATCTTGTTGCCATTTTGGGAAACTGCACCACTGTTTTTATCATCAAGACAGAATTCTCCTTACATTAGCCTGTGTACTATTTCCTTTCTATGCTGGCCTTATCTGACTTGGGTTTGTCTCTGTCATCTCTGCCAACCATGTTGGGGATCTTCTGGTTTAATGCCCTTGAAATTTCTGCCAATGCTTGCTTTGCCCAGGAATTCTTCATCCATGGATTCTCAGCACTGGAGTCATCAGTCCTCCTGATTATGTCTTTTGACCATTTTCTAGCTATTCACAATCCTCTGAGATACAGAACCATTCTTACATCAGTCCGAGTTGCCCAAATAGGAATGTTCTCCTAAGAGCATCCTGCTGGTTCTTCCCTTTTCCTTCACTTTGAGAAGCTTGAAATATTGTAGTAAATACCAATTGTCTCACTCTTACTGTCTCCACTGGGATATCATGAAGTTGTCCTGCTCTGATAACAGAATTGATGTCATCTATGGATTTTTTGGGGCACTCCGTTTTATGGTAGACTTTATGTTTATTACAGTGTCTTACATCTTGATGTTCAAGACTGTTGACAGAATTGCATCTCAAAAGGAGCAGCTCAAGGCCCTCAATACTTGTATTTCACACATCTGTGAAGTGATCATCTTCTATCTGCCCATCATCAACCTAGCCATAGTCCATCACTTTGCCCAGCATGTCTCTCCCCTCATGAATGTTCTCATGGCAAATGTTCTGTTACTTGTACCTCCACTGATGAACCCAATTATCTACTGTGTGAAAACTAGACAGAGCAGAGTAAGAGTTACAGCAAAATTGTATCATAAGTAGATCTCACAGTGTTCTGTGACAAGAAACAAGAAACAGGGGCGGGAGATTTAGCTCAGCAGCGTAAGCTCCTGCCTTGCAAGCACGCTGTTATGAGTTTGATCCCCAGTACTCATTTTAAAAAAGAAAGAAAGAAAGAAAGAAACACTGCAGGGTCTTTGGTAAGGTGGTTTAAGTTGAATCTGAGAAAACCTGATATTTGACAAAAACTGATGTTGTATATTACAAATTCTTGTAGATTTGCATCAAAACATTATTACAGAAAAAGACACACTTTCATTAATTCCCATCAAAATACTTCCTTTCACTCCCAAACCCACTTATTCCCATCCTTCTTGTCACTTTCTAAACTAGCTCTGGAAGTCCTTGGGTTTGGCCTGAGTCTGCTTGTCAAACATGTGGGCCAAGCAGGCTACACAGGAACAGATACAGATTGGTTATAGCAATATTTTTGAACCTGTGATTACAAAAGGCAATTTAGAGTACTGAGTCCAGTGGTTACACCAGTGTAGGAGAGAATGAATGTGTCCTTATCAGGAACTTCCGAATTCTATGGGGACACAGTTCAGAACCCTAGGTGAATACTGAAACTAACAAGGCATAAGGGCTGGAAACCAAACTGAAGAGCAGAACATGAGTCAATAAAGGCAGATGATCCAGTGCACAGTGTCTGTTCAGCTTCAGCCATGTGTAAACTTGTCAGCTTCTGGAGTGACAAGAGCAGGACTTCAAACACATATTTTCCTCAGGGTTTTCTTCAGGGAGTTGACTCATCCACATGGGCTTCCAACAGTCATCTGGGTGAACTTTCTTAATACCCAAAAGATGAAACCATGACTGTACCTTGGATCCTTTTCACCGTGGAGGTGGTCAAAACAATTACATAGAGGCCCTTCCAGACAGATTGGAGGGCTCCTTTTTCAATCTTTAATCCAAACCATTATATATGTGGGCAGGTGTGTCTGTGGGTATGGCAGAATTGCCATAATCACAATTATGTTTTTATGCATTTGAGAAAATGTCTGTTTTAACTGTGTAAATTGTTTCTATAGAGATATGTTACCTAGCTGATGTTAGGTCTCCCTGGTTACCCATAATTATGGGTGGGAGACTCCTATATAGAACTTCAAAGGAAGAATATCCCATGGCTCTGGTAAACTTCAGATCTTGAGGGGGGCCATGGGAAGCAAATGTACCCATGGTGCCTGAGTGTCTTGGTGACATTTAGTCGGTATTAACTTTGAAGTCCTATTAACTTTTAACTTTTATTCTTTGAGGCATGTATACTGCATGAAATTTCCATTTGATTTTTAATTACTTAGCCAGCTTCTGGATTATTTGTGCAGCACATGTAGGCCCATTATCAGAGGTTATAGTCATGGACAACCCGTATCTGGGGATAATTTTTGTAGTAATATTCTACAGACTTTAGTGGCTTTTTTCTGCTCTAGTGTGAAATGCCTCCAGGAACCCAGAATGAGTACAGATGAATACCAGGACATATGAATAACCTGTACATGATTTGACTTCTGTAAAGTCCATTTGTAAATCTTCAAAATGGGATTGTCCAGCATATTGGATACCAGGTAGAGGTTTAGTTCTAGATGAGTACTCAGTCCTTGCAAAGATTTGATATCTCTGACTAACAAAGGCCCACATGAAGGCTAACTTTGTAACATAATAGTAGCATGTTGGAAGCTGATTCATGACAATTTTTCTCCATTTGTGATGTCATGATGGTGTTTTACCACGGCATAAGCCAAATTTTAAGGAACTATCATTTAACTATCTGGAGAAGTCCAAGCACCATTTGGACTCATGTAGGCCCTTTCTGTTGTGTCCATTTAACTCATTTTTTTGAGTAGTGGAGGAGTTCCCTTTAGAGACTGAGGATACTGTTAGGGAATATTCCATGGTGGACTTCCAGACTCGGTACTAAGTCATCTGATCCCCACGGGAGCCTTTTGCTGACAATTTGGCAGTATCATCCATTTGTGATTGCAAAGAACAGTAGTATCTTTTTCTCTTTGGTGTCCCTCACAATTAATAATTACAATCAGAAGTTAGTAAATCTCATTTTTTATTTAAAAATAAAAGATTAAGATAAAAGAGGACATAACACAGGTCAGAACAAAACAATTTAAGCAACGTAGTGTTTCACCACAAGACAACCCAACATAGCAATAGCTACTATAGTGTCTCTATCCTTTAAAGAAATCGCAGTTTTATTATCAATTTGTTTTTCTTCTGTTGTGAAAAGTTCGCATTCCTTGTATAGCATTCCATGGACATGAATGACAGCAAAAGTGTACCCCAAGTGAGTGCATATGTTCCCAGCTTTTCCCAGTTGAGAGTTTGTTTTAGGGTCCACAGCTCAGCCCACAGTTCAGCCCACTGAGAAGACCACTTTTGGTGAAGACACCTGGCTATGAGCACCTCCTTTGTGGTAACAAAAGCATATCTGGCCTCACAGTTTTCATTCTTGATGGAGCTACTTCCATCTGTGAATGGGGCATATTCAGCATCAGACAAGATTTCCATCTGCAGATCTGGCTGGTTATCAAGAAGTTCATCAGTAAAAGTGAGAAAGTTGTGCTGGAGGCTAGGCAAGCTTAGTGGGAAGAAAGGTGGCTGGATTCAGAGGTTTGGTGAGTTGGAAAGCAATTTGATGATTTCCATAAAGCAGTCCTTGGTGCTCACTGACACGGCTGCCTCAGAGCCAATGATATTTCCAACTGTTGAGTGATTCTAGAACAGCATGTGGTGCCTGTATGGTCAGATTCTGTCCCTAAGTTAATCAGTCAGACACTTGACCAGAAGGACCATTGCTGTAAGTGCCCTCAGGAAGGAGGGCCAGCCCTTGGATAATGAGTTCAGATAAATTGGCCTTTTTGTCCCATCTCTGGGTCTTTCAATTTAAAGGCAAAGATAGGCTGGCTGGCAGGTAAAACCTACACACACGAGAAAGAATCCCTTAGGTCCAGGCTGGTATCTCAGCAGTCTTCCTAGCAGAAGACTAAGAGAGTACAGGGGCATGGAACTGCAAGATGGAGGGTAGCTGCTGTGGCACTGACTTCTCAGAGATGCTGAACTGCATGACATGCTTCATTGGGCTTCTCTACAGGGAGGAGAGTTATGTTTCAGGAATTTTATGATCTAAGTGGACTTCACAGTTCTGAAGTCTATGATGTTTCCTTAAGTTCCTAGTTGAGCCTTTTGGAGAATGCAGTACTGTTTAATGCAAGTGGGGATGGCCCCAGGTTGGAACTTCACAAGTAGAGGCAGGTAGTTGATGGCCCAAATTCAAAGAAAGAGAGTCTTGATAATTTCTGGGTTGATTTAATCTATGTATGTGTCTCAATTGTCGTTTTCCTACTCAGGGACCATAATATCAAGCAGGAAATGTTATTGTGGAGCAAGCGGGACAGAGAATCAGATTTCCCTGGAGAGAATGTGATGGTGGCCCCTAGCCTAGAAAGGATGTCTCTATTCAAGAGTAGGTTAGGGCACTTCCGCAAGAAGAGGAACTCATGAGCAGTCTGATGACCTCCCAGGCTACAAGATCATGCCTGACAGAAGAGACAAGAGGCAGAAATCCCACTTGCCCTAGTGACAGTAAGCTGTTTACTGACAGAGGGGCAATAGTTTGAATAATGATGGAGTGTTCAGTTCCACTGACTACCAGGAATTCATAGGTTGGTTCCCATATGGATGTGGATTCTGAGTTCCCAGTAACACAGCTGAAGAAGGAGCCCAGTCTGGCCTAGTCTGAGCCCATCAGACTAATGAAATGATCACTGTGTGATTTAGGTTGAAGCCTTTGAGAATCCCTGTCTTTTAGTCTGAATGGGCATTGAAGACTGGCCCTGATTGTCTTTTCCCACTCTTTGCGTCTAATGAGAGTCATTATCGCCAAGCAGAGGCCTCCAGTCTGGGACCTTTGGTGCCTTTGGTGGAGGCACCAAAAATTCTGCAGGATATGACTTCCCATCGAGGACCCTGCATCAGTTGCTAGGCCTCAGCTAGTGATCTAAGCAGCCAGTACTGTCTTACCACTCAGTGAACCAAAAATGTTACAGTAAACAAACCATACATGAAAAGAAATGGCACCAGCAGTCGTTAGGAGGCAGTTTATTACACCAGAGGGTTTGACTAGGATTTTTCTCCAAAAAGTCAGCCCTGCCTGGTGGAATTCCAGGCTTTTGTGAGGAAGGCATGGGGCAGGTACAAAGGCAGGCTCAGTGAGTTATGATTGCAAGATTTAGGTGACATCTTCAGGTAACTAATAGAGCTTAAACATTTCAGGTTATATCAAAAGGCCATAAGTTACACTAAGCATGGTTTATACAGAGGAAGAACTGGCCTCTTACAGTTCAAGTTACATTGCAAGGTCATCAGATAGACAAGCTCACACAAAGGAAAGAATGTTCTGTTATCAGGCTTGTCCAGACATGAACATGTCCACCTGGTCTTGAAAACCATCCTTGGCAGGTTTTATTTAAAACTCTTAATTCCTCTTCATAAGTAGCATTTGGGATTAAACAAAAACTATATTGTTTTTTATAAAATGTGCTTTGTCCATCTAAGATGATCTCAAAATCTTGCATGTCATTTAAGCACTTTTAGCCTTGTGTTATACTTCATTGCATTAGCTCTTTTCCAAAAATGACATCAACTAAAGGCCCTTACATTTCTATCCCCAGGTAAATTAATAGACAGCTTCTAAAATTGTCAAATGCTTAGGGAATAATAATAATCACCAAATTGGAAAGCATTCTATAATCATGAAAAAATTAACAGATATGAACATGTTTTTAAGCTACTGATATATACGAGATATGCTTGTAGGTACTTTAGGTCAAGTATATTATGTTTTGCTATTTTTCTCTTATTTTAAGAAAGCAAATAAAAATAACAATAAAAAACTTCTAAAACACATTAGTATGAGAGTAACAATAACTAATACATTGTGCATTGCTATCTTTACATTAGTTATTCTGAAT